TTTTTTTTTTTTTTTTTTTTTTTTTTTTTTGTCAGCTCCATGCACAGTGCTATCAAGGGACTTCAAACAGCAGACATAGATAAGAGGTTATCACAATTAGGGGAAGAGTATCCGAAGGTATTTCTCTTATTTCTTGCCTATTATTAGACAGGCATTTTACATCCAATTTTAGTCATCATAACAAGCCACTTAAGAAAGTTATATTTTGTTACAGACAAGGAAACTGAAGATCAGAGAAGTTACGTCTTACCCAAAGACTGTGATGCAGGATGTTATAGAGCAGAGATTTTAGCTGAGAAAAGTATAATTCCAAAATTTGAGCCCTTGGCCTAATTCATGAAAGATAAGTAGAGCTAGTGGCAGGGAAAGCATTAATTAAACCTGTTTTAAAGAGAAGGGAAGTAGCTAAGCCAATGTTGCATATCTAGAGAAAGGTGGAGCTGTTCCTCCTTGTCATCTACCACCATGAGGCAGTATAGGAGCTGTGAGTTATACAGACATACTTTGAATTCTGCCACCAACATGCCTTCGGTGAGTCACTTTATTTTGTTAAGCCTAATTTTCCCCATCCATTAAAAAAAATACTATCTGTAAAAAGGGGAAATCAGGTTATCATGAGGACTTAATGGGGAAGGATTTTGAAAGTGCGTAGTATAGTTCTGGCACAGAGAAGTTACTCAACAAATGGTGACTGGCCCTCAGTGGTAGGAAAGGGACCACAGGAACTTCAGCGTTCACAGCTAGAGTCCTTTGTCCATTTCCTAGTTGTTTTACAGTGAAGGAGAGGGGCCTTGACATGAGGTTGAGATAATCTACAAAGCAGGTCATAACCATGGCCAAGATACTTGGTTTTGGATAGGAAAGGAATGGCTCAGCACCAGCACCCCCCCCCCATTGCTTCCTACTAGGTGGCTTTTCAGCAAGGCAAAGCCACCTCAGATTGGGCAGGTTGGCTGGAGCCTCTACTGCCTCACCTATAGGACAAATGGGCCACCCCCACCATTATCCCCATTACCATCATCACCACCAAAATATCTGGCCAGGATGTTATATTTATGTGAGTTCTGGGCCCATGAGCACTTACTCATTGAAAACCAGGTCAGGGGCAAAGTAGAGCATCCTGGAGTTGACATTGGTGAAGGACCGCCAGCCCATGGCAAACACCATAAGCCCCATCCAGGAGTACTGAATGACTGCCATCTGGTCATCCACGTGCAAGTTGCGGAAGCCTGAAGATGGGGCAGAGGCAGTGGTCAGACTGGGCAATAATGGGCTGAGTGAAGTCCCAGCCATCTGCTGGGCTGAAAATTGCTGAAACTCTAGCAGCTCCTGAGGAGTCCCAAGGACAATCAATACTGAGGAACAGGGGGAGAATAAACTATATGGTGGGGATAATACTCCTTTCTCTCTCTACCTCACTAGGCTACTCAAATGAGATGATAATGGAGGCAAAATATGGTACTGCCAGTTGGCAGAGAATAATAATCTAACACTGCTTACAATGAGTGAACTCTTTTATAAGTATATTACTTATATTAGCTCATTTATTCTTCAAAATAGTACAATAAATTAGGTTCTATGAGTAGCCCCATCTTGTGAATTAGTAAAAGTGAATCACAGAAAGGTTAAGAAACTTGTCCAAGATTGTAAGGCTAGTGACTGGCAGACTACATTTCAAAGCCAAGCAGTCTGACTCCAAAGCCTGTGCTCTTGATTACTATGCCTTTCTGAAGATGCAGTGTAATAATCATTTCTCCTATATGAACAGCATTTTTCAATTTACAAAGATCTTTTCCAGATATATACTTATTTTTCCCTTCTAACAATCCTGGGAAATGAATATTATTACATATCAGCATATGTTGGAATGCATTTGACAGCCACTGCCTTCTCTATACCACCTTCAGGCTCTTTATCTTTTCTCTGATCCTCTTTAGGACTCACTTCCTGTCCATTATTTTGTACTCAACAAGTAATCTGACTTTGCTAGTTCCCTACTCTACCATTTCTGCCCTGCTACCATTATTATACACAAATAAGTTCTTTATGACCTGCCTCCTTAGACTAATTTCTTGCCACTTATCTTTTCATAATTTAGCTTCTAATTATTCTGAAAAACTTAGTTTGCTGAACACATCATACTTTCTCATGCCTCCGTATCTCTGCTATCTCTGCATAGTCAGTTGCCTTTGTCTAGAATGTATTCCTCCCTCCCGAGGCTTTCCATATGATAAATACCTACTCGTCTTTAAAATTTTCACTGAAAATCTACTTCCTCTGTGAAGCCTTTGCCAATTCATCTAAGCAGACAATGATTCTTGTTTCACCTTCTTACTGAGCTTTGTGTAGCCCCACCCAATTACAACACTTATTACACAGTATTGGAATTTACTTAAGTACACATCTATCTCCTCCACAAGACTTGTAGATTCCTGAAAACAAGAACCTCCCTATTTCATGTTTTCTCCTTAGTACATAGTACAGTTCAGATAGTTGAGTACACATTTTTGAAATATTAATTTAACATTTATTATTTAATTTAATAGTAATTAAGAGGACTAAGGATTCCCATTTTTTTTCATTTTATAAAATGGGAATCCAATGATCTCCAAATTATCTACCTTAGTCTCAGAGAGCAGAAGCTCCTAGATGCTACTTCCACAATACCATACAGATAGATCAGATGTAGCTATATTCTTCTGGAGGTTTCCAGACAGTTAGATGCTTAGAGAATCACCTCAGAGCTTGTTTTCTACCAGTATCTCAATTCTCTTTTCCCCCAAATATCCAGAATTATCAGAAATTTTGTTTTGCTATACCTCATTAGTAATGCTTCCATTAATTTAGATAAAGTTTCTAAGTTTCCTGTTGATGACCTCATTTAACTCTCACAATAACCCTAGAGAAAAGAAAATATGACACTCATTTTTCTAACAAAGAATTTGAGGGCTAGAGAAGTTAATGGACTTACCCAAGGTCATATAGTCTATGTGTGGCTGAATTGGGACTAAAACCTAGGTGTTCTAATTCTCTTCAGGGCCTTTTCCGCTCTACTGCTGAAGGGCACAACTCAAGAACTACCAAGTTCATGAGCTTTTGGTAGCCATAGACCGAGGTCTGAAGTGTAAACTATGTAGACATGTCGTTCTGCTTAGTTGGTCCTTGTCCACCCCAAAACCCCATTTCCCTTTTTCTCTCCTCTCCTCTCCTCTCCTCTCCTCTCCTCTCCTCTCCTCTCCTCTCCTCTCTTTCTTCTCTTCTCTTCTCTTCTCTTCTCTTCTCTTCTCTTCTCTTCTCTTCTTTCTCTTCTCTTCTCTTCTCTTCTCTTCTCTTCTCTTCTCTTCTCTTCTCTTCTCTTCTCTTCTCTTCTCTTCTCTTCTCTTCTTTCTCTTCTCTTCTCTTCTCTTCTCTTCTCTTCTCTTCTCTTCTCTTCTCTTCTCTTCTCTTCTCTTCTCTCTTCTCTGTTCCAACCCTACCAGACATCAGGGATTCTAGAGTCCTCATATCACCACCATTGCAGTTCAATTGATTGACTGCAATCTTAGCTCCCAGGCCTTAGCATCCTATCTTCACTGTAGTGATATGCTGACAGACGAGCTGAAACCTGAGACACCAGAGTATTTCTTGACAGAAGTCATTCTGTAGCACAGAACTCTTGATACTGACTCTTCCTAGTAGGACACAAAAAGCAGGAATCGAGCATGGAACATACCTTGGGGAAAGGGCCCAGGAGCTTGAAACCTGAGCCTCTGGAGTGGAAGCAAGCAAAGACTTGGCTGCTGAGTGTGTGAATAAGAGGATGTGTAGGGAAAATGAGGATTAAACTGTACAAGTACTAAGGAAGCTGTCAGTACTGATGCTTTTTTCACTCCTTGAAATGCCAGAGAGCTAACAAAGAGGAGAAAAAAGGGAAAGCTTAGTTTGACTGTAATACTAACTAACTAATAATACTAATGGTCCTAGTGAGACCTGCTTAGAACTCAATCCTAATTACTGTGTATACATAAGCAGCATAGCAGGCTAATTTTCCTATAGGTCTAATATGATTACAATACCTAACTCTGTTTTCTAATGCTTAGGCTTTGAAGTTGTCTGCTCAGATAGCATGATTATTAAGTAAGGGGTGACTTGAGGAAACAGTAGCTCCAGCCTATAGGTTTCCTTCAGTACACCTTCACTTAACACCTATTTGGTATTGTATTAGGCTATTCTGGATAAATGAAGAGGAGTTATTCTCAAGTTTTGAAACATACCAAACAGGTTAGGGAGCAGAAGTAGTTTCACTGAGATTCTGTTTTCTTGATAAAATTTAGTCAACTCTAATTTCTTAGCAATCTGTAGTGGAAACCTATAGTCCCGCATCTACTCTGGGAGAACATGTCCAAAGAAAAGCCAGCTAGGAAATCTTTGGTGTGCTAATGCATTCAATAACTAAGGTCTTCAAATAAGATAATTCATCCCTGGGACCCATGCAGGAGCTTCTAAGCAAGGCTGGTGGCAGCTTAAATTGATTTTAGTTAAAGCAGTGTCTTTAGTATTCAAGCCTCATAATAATGACCTATCATTTACACAGCATCTACCATGGTTTCAGCTACTGTACTAGGTCCTCTTTATACTTAATCTGAATGTTGCTAACAATTTGCAAGTTAGTGATTGTTCTACTATCTCTACAAATGAAAAAACAAAAGCACATGTCGACATGTGATTAGCTCAGGGCCACACAACTAGTATATAGTGAAGATTCCAAATCAGAAGCATCTGATCACAAATGTACTGAAAACCATCTACTCACCCCCCCTCAATTGATAGTTATTATTTATTAAAGTCCAGGTACTATCCTAGGCAATTTACTTATATGATCACCATCACAGAAAACTTAAAAGAAGAAAATTTATTCAAGTAGATGCCTAGCATGGTGGCTCGCACAGGACAGTAATGCAATCTGTTGAATGAGCAAATAACTAGAACTAGTAGGTAATTATCAATCATATAGATAATAACAGTTCTTATAAATGTGGTAATTGGCTTCTTTTGGAACTACTATTTTAAAAAACCCAGGGTCAGAGATCATTTCCTTGGATGAGCTATGGTGAACTGATACTGACTTGCAGACTTGTTAATGTTAAAGAGAGGGCTTCTGATTCTGGGGGTTGGGCTGAGGAAAGCCAATGACTCGGAATCATACAAATTCTGCCATAATGATTTGCACTAGTTTATTGTAAACACCATCAAATTAGAAATCAGGGAATGTGAGCCCAAATTCTGGTTATAATTTGTTAAGTAACAAAATGGAATAAGTCAGTTAACCTCTTTGAGCCTTGTCATTTGAAATGGAAATAGTAGCTTCTATGATTAACAGGACTGCTCTGAGGATTAAGTGGAATCACATCTATGAAAAGTTTCTCTCTCCTATATAATAAGGTAATTTAGGTGGTTGGCAAGAGCTAGGAAAGACTAAAATGATTCTCTGTTACACATGTGATATTAAGACATCCAGCTGAATAAGTAATAAGAATTAAAGAAATTTTCTATTTTATTCATTTTTGTATTTTTTCCTTCCTTTGTGAACTCTGTTTTGGCACAGTGCATACACAACCAGAGTCCTTGGGTCTTCTTCCCAGTGGTCGTATTGGCTAGTCGACCTCAGTTTCTCAAGCAGGGAAGGTGTATGACTGGGCCTTGTGAGTTAAAAATAGAGGTTTGATATCCAACATGCAAGGTCTTCAAAGGCAGCTTTGAAGTGGGCATCCAAGTGGGCTTGGATAAGGCTTTGACCCCTCACTATAAATCCCAGGGCTTCAGAACTATAGGGGCACTACATAGACTATGGGTAGAGTGGGATGAGGAGAAGATTTGGAATTAGGAGGGGACCTGGGCTCAAGTTCTGGTCCTACTACTTTCTGACCATGTAGCTGTAGGCCAAGCATGCCACTTCTTAGAGCTTTAATGCTTTTATGTATAAAATAGGAAAAAGAATCCCTACTTTATAGGATTGTTATGAAGATCAAATCAGGTAATACAAATGAAGCTGCTCTGTTCACCATAAATTTCCATATGAGTGGCAGTTTTTCTTAGAACACATGTTAATCTTTGACTCCATAACAAGTTTAGGTTGTCCATATTTCAAACGAATCTTTGAGTTATAGAATTTTGGGATGAAGACAACCATCAAAGTATTTATTCTTCATTGGTTTCCAAACTATGTTCCTTGGACCCCTAAGATTCTGTAAGATTGACCTGAGGCTTATTTCATGGTAGTGAGTGAGAGGCACTGGCTTTAAATCAACCAGCTCTACTTGGATCTGTATACAATGTTTTTAACAAATAAAGAGTTTGGCTGCTAAAGGAAAGTTTATCCTTGGATAGATGAACTCTGAGGTTTCTTCAAGCTCTAATATCCTAATAAACAGAACAGTTCAAACCTCAGATGGCCTAGGTAGAAAGTGAGTTCCCCACCATTGGAGGTAACCAAGCAGAAGGTAGACAGACATTTTGTATTTCTTTCACTATCACCTAATATTTCCTCCCACTATAATTCCCAAGGCAGTTTAAAGAGCACTAAGAGTTCCTTGAAGCAAAATTTGAAAACCATCAATTTAGTCCAAACTACTCCTCTCACAATATAGATGAAGAAATTGAGACCCAGAAAGGGAAGGGGTCACACAATGAGTTAGTAGAACCTAACTGTTCTGAACCTAGAACTAGAACCTAAGTGTTCTGACTCTCAATCCCTTCTTTCTACCATATTATATTAGAAGAGTTCCTAAAGGTAATATTGATGACAGAGTATCAGTCAGGCTCAAAACTATCTTTGCAGGTGAGCCTGTATGTGCACATGTAGAAGAATATCTTAAGGTATATAAGGTTATGGTGTCCACACGGTCTGTGATTATGGGGACATTCGATGACTATATACGTGGGTTGAACATGCAAACGTGATTGCTATATGCTGATGTGAGGAATATGGAATATTCTATAATGCTGCTCTTCTTGATTTATTAATTTTCCTTATTTTTAAAATGGAAATTATACCATTCACTTCCCTCCATAGGGTTATAGTGAGTACTGCATGAGTTAATTGGCAGGGAAGGATCAGACATGGCGCTGGCCCATAGGAGCAATTCACTAAATATGATCTACCTTATCCCATGCCCCTAGTTTCCATTTCCTTACCAGGCAAGGCCTTGGCCCACTTGACCACATGTACAAGTTGTCTTTCGCCCAATTCATTAAGGCTAGAGAGCAAGGCTGCAAAGGAGTCGGGCTGGTTGTTGTCGTGTCCAGCACATACCACGCCTGGCTCAATGGCTTCCAGGACATTCAGAAAGATGGGCTGACACTCATAGCCTTCAATGTGTGACACTGTCAGCTTCTGGGTTGGCTCCTCAGTGGGGCTGGTGGCATTGGAAGCCTCCCCTTCCTCCTGTAGTTTCAGATTACCAAGTTTCTTCAGCTTCCGGGCTATTGGGAAGGAAAGGAAACTTGGATTTATTATCAATGGCCAAACACACAACTCAACTACCCTGTTAGAAGAGTTGACTAAGCTAAGAAAATAAGTATGCTCATTCTCCCTGGTTACAGAATCTAAACTCCATAAGGACAAGTGCTCAGTTTAAACACTGGTTGAATGAATTGAATGAATGAATGAATGATTCATCATTCCAAATCCCTACTAAATCCAAAGTTTCATATCTTGCTTTCTCCTCAGGCCCACTCTGGATTTAATAAATGGGAATTTTCTCGTGTTACAGCATTTCCTACTGAACACTATAACAGCCTCAGATATTGTCAAATGTTTACACCCATAGTTGAACATACACTGTAACACATATATTGATTTTCATCTTTACCAAAGGGGAAATTAAGAAGCTAAAGGGCTGAAATCCCCAATATTATCAAAGAACTAACAGAATGTCCCTGACTCTATACTCTGTAAGATAGGAGCAATACTAAGAGGCAGACATCAGAAAGAATGATAGAAATAGCATTATTTAAAACAACAATAATCTCAAACTCAAATCTGAAGAGCCAACCTCCCCCTGTGCCTGCACACACACAATTTAGATAGAGGTTTTTGGGCGTCCTGATGTTTATTTTGTTTTATTTTCCCTGGCATTTATATTGGCATAAATATAAGTAATTGAAAAGGTTATAACTTTGAGGCCTAGCATAGGCAGTTGTACTGGGGAGAACCATAAGCTACTTTATGTTTAATCCCTTTAAAATAGCAATAATAATAAGTAAAAAGTAAAAGAGAATTTGATTGCTCAATTTAAATGGATAAATAGAACAAAACCTGTTGTTCATATGTTTCTGGATCCTATAGAAAAAGATCTGGAACTGACTTCTGGAACTGACTTTCAGTTATAATTAGAAAAATAAGTCCTGGAAACTCCAATCATAGTGCAACTCAGTAAGTCAATGCAAGGATGGTTCAAACATTTGGATCAACAACTAGGATACAGGAGGAGAAAATGGTAGGGTTGGTGGTGTAAGAGGAACACAGAGAACTCAGGGTAAAATAACAGGTGAGACTAGAAAATCAACCCAAAGTACAAGATGACATTGTCCAGCAATCCTTTCTGCAGGGCTTGCACAGTCAGTATTAAGGAGATATGCACACACACTGTCAACTCCCATGTCCCACCTCCACCAAGGGCACAGGATAGAAGGTATGGGCCCATCTTCTCCCAGATCTAGAGGCCTGGAACCCAAAATATCTTGTCATGTGGTGAACCAATTGCTGACATGGATTCTTGTAGGCGTCTGCACAGTTTGGTAGTGCCTCCTGGATCTGTTCCCTTGGTACAGTTTCTAAAGGTAGACCCCATCTTTCCCATCACTAGCAGTTCCTGGCTTTGAGCTCAGGAGCTGTCAGACCATGTCTTCCCCATTCCAATCTGAAAGAGGACAGAGATGTTATTAGCTCTATGCCTGACGTAACTAACAAAAATGAAGATAACTATTTTTTTTTAATTTTTTAAGTTTTTATTCATTTATTTTTAATATTAAATATAATTTATTGTCAGATTGGTTTCCATACAACACCCAGTGCTTATCCTAACAGATGCCCTCCTCAATGCCTATCACCCACTTTCACCTCTCCCCCACGCCCCGTCAACCCTCAGTTTGTTCTCGGTATTTAAGAGTCTCTTATGGTTTGCCTCCTTCCCTCTCTGTAACTTTTTCCCCCTCCCCCTCCCCTATGGTCTTCTGCTAAGTTTAAAGATAACTATTTTTTTCAGGGTCTTCTATGTGCCTCACTTCATGAACACATTGTATAATTTATTTACACATGATCCTAGGAAGTTAGGAGTATTTTCTATCCCTGTTTTATAAGTGAGTAAACTTAGGAAACACAGATATCAAGAAAGGGAACCCAATAATATGAACCTGGTTTGCTGACTACGAAGCTTATGCTCTTTCTACTGTATCATGATGCTTCCTCAAGGTCTCTGAAGCCTGAACACTACTTCTAGCCAAACAGCAGAGTTGAGGAGCGGGGCTGGGCTTATATTCCCTCTGACTTCCATCCTCACCCTTGACTTCAAACTTCAGTAACTAGTATCAAATCCAGAAGGGAAGAGGCAGGAAACTATGAAAATATTCCAGCCATGTGCCCAAAGTAGAAACAGGTTTGGGACACTATAATGGCCTTAAAATTCACATACAATGACAAAGTAGGAAAGGTCTACAGAAATCTTCTCACCCAGGAGCCACAGCTTCAAAATACCTTCAGGGTCTACATAGGCAATAGAGTGGTGTGTGCTTGTCTGTGTGTGTGTGTGTGTGCACAGGAGAATGGTAGAAACTTTGGTGAACAAGAGTAAATGGCTACTGGCCTTCCTGCCCCTGCCATGCACATGCATGTGCACACATACACACAACCCTAGAAGGCATTAGTGTAACATTGAAAAATCTTCCTGGAGCTCCTCTGTATTCTAAAGGTAAATTAGTACTTAACTACCATTTTGAGATTTCTGACATTAATCCAAACTTTCAAGTCAAAGATGGGGAGGCTGAGTCCAGAAAGAGTGATCACCTACTGGCAAAGCTAAGACTAAAACCAGGGCTTTTATTCCTGATCCAGAGTTCTATGTGCCACATCAGCTCTCTTTTTGACTAACTTGTTTCTACTTTGTCACAGTTCTTGCCTCTCTGAGTCTCTTCTAGATATGCACTGTCCAACACAGTAACTATCCACAGGTGGTGATTTACATTTAAATTAATTAGAATTAAAGAAAATTAAAAATATAACTCCTTATTCTCACTAGCTACATTTCAAGTGCTCAACAATACAGACATAGAATATTTCCATCATCCCAGAAAGTTCTATGGAATAATGCTGTGAATCTAGACTGTTTTCTGGGGCAGCTGTCTCATTCGTCATGCCCTATTCATGCTATTGATAAAGAAGAAAAGAATATAAATAAATTTTATACCGATGAATCTATGAGCTTTTCTGAAAGGTACAGGGACAAAGCAATTGGTGCTGATGCAATCAGTGAAGTATGCTCTGTCACCTCAACTCTCTCACCAGAGATGTCAGTGGGGTGATGACTCGTGGACCTAAGTAAACTGATTACAAGCAAGAGCAGTATGTGCAGATACTTTGGGGAGAATCCATCAACATGAAATAATTCCCCTTCTTTACATAGTGCTAATGAGAACTTGGCTGGTATTTTCACATCCTCCTCCTCTAGATCTATATGGCATCTGCTTGAGGAAAAGAAGCTGCATTCCCACTGGCCTCTAAGACCTGGGTAATGTGCTGTCCTTGCACCCACACTGGCCCAAGCTGCACCAGGTGTTCTGGCCTCTCTGCCTGAAGAGGGTGACTGTACTGAACGTAATTGAAATCAGATTCCATTCATTCTGCCAGGGGATCCTCTGTTCTCTTTCTGCAGCAGAGACCAGCATGTTGCTAGACGACTTGGAATGCTGGACAATGAGGCTTGATAGTCTCAGCTGTTACCCAATGCTCAAGGCCTTGTTTTCTTCCATGAAGGCCACCCCACACCCCTCCTTCCTCCTGCACCTGAGCCCCAGCGTCAGATCTAACTCTTTCATGTGAGGTACAGGCCTGCCAACTCCTATTATGGCAGAGACCCACTGGTTTACTTAAATTGAGGGTGAATTCAGGAGAAAAGGGATAGTAAAGGTGGATAGTCTCAATGGTGTTTGCTGTTTTGCATCTCTTCCCTGTCTTTCAGTCTCAGGTCAGATCAGTGACAACAAAGGGCCACTGGCAAGTCACTTCCCTGTCCCAACTTGCTCTGTAGGGGATTGGAGCACCTGACATGATGTCTGGATCCTGCTATCTGGATCCTATGGAGAACTCACTTTTCATACTGGTGGTATTAGACCCCTATGAGGGCTGTCTCTAATAGCACCAGAAAAAGATTTTTCAATTCAGGTTCCACAGTGTATCCCCAAGGGGAGGTAGATGTTATTAGTGTGTAGCTTCCATAGCCACTGTGACCATTAGGTGCTGTTCCAGCCTAATTCCTTGCCACCTCAAGATAGAGGCTTTCTTATCCATGGGCAGGGACAATGCAAGTGAAGTTAAGTTCCCAAAGGTTTAGAAAACTGGAATCACTCTCCCTAAGGTCAAGGATGTTTCTCTTCTTCATATCTCACCATAAAATCTGGAGCATAAAAAATCACTTTCTGTGGTAGATGGACTTCTGAGATGGCACCCAACAGTCTCAATACCTGGTTGTATACACATCTTTTTCCAGTTATTTAGTTAAACACTAATCTACTTGTTGTTGTAAAAGGATTAGGTAGATGTAATTAAGCTCAAAATTGAACTGAATTTGAAGTTTGGTTATCTTTGATGGCTTGACCTACTCAGATTAACTCTTAAAAGAGACTGGGTTCTTCATGGAGTCAGGGGAATTCAACATAAGGAAGAGTCTCTCTGTTGCTGGCTTTTAAGGTGGAGGGATCAACATGCCAAGGAATAAGAACAGATTCTAGGAGCTCAGAGCAGCCTCTCTCTGGATGATGGCCAGAAAGGAAAGGGGAACCTTAATTCTACAACTGCAAGGAACTGAATCTTGCCATAATCAAATGAACTTGGTCAAGAGCCCTGAGTTCCAGAATACAGTGCAGGCTGGACAATACTTTGATTTCATATTTGTGAAACAGTGAGCTGAGAAACCGGTGTCAGACTTCTGGCTTACAGAACTGTGAACTGATAAATAGTTACTGTTTGAAGTTGTTAAATTTGTGATGATTTTTTTATGAAGCAATAGAAAGCTAATACACTTTCCTTATAGGAGTGTGGTATATGGCAAGATAAGAGGCTTCAGAGTCAGACAATTTTGAGTTCAAATCCCAGCTCTGTAAATTACTAGCTTAATAACTTTGAACTCTTTGCTCTCTCAGATTTTCTGAGATTCAGTTTCCTCATTCTTAGGACACTTATGAGAACCAAATGAGAGAGACTGTTTGGC